GATGGTCGGGGTGGGATGGCTGGGGTGGGAGCAGGGCTGTCCGAGCCTCCTGGCTGTGCTGGGCAGCAGAGCTCGGGGTGAGCCCTGGCCCCAGACCCAGGAGCTGCTTCACAGCACTACCCCAGGTAGCAGCACCAGGGCTTCAGCCCTTAATCTGTGGAGTCAGAGGGAGAGGAAGGAGGTTAATGCGCTTGTGTTAATCGCAGGAGCAGGGGCTGCAGCTGCCGAGCGCTCTCCCTACAGGGGCTGGCATGTCCTGAGCTCCCAGCTCCCCCTCCCCACCAAGGGGAAGGTTTCAGGCCGTGGGTGAAGATGAGAGCAGCACATTCACCCCCCAGTCCCCAGCACACAGCCTGGTGCCATTCCCAGGGCTGCTCCCGGTTCTGCCGTGGGTCACTGGGGGCCACCTGCTCCACACTGCTCATCTCCAAACCCCAGGGCACCCCGAGGAAAACGGTTTCCCTGGAGAAGGACCTGCTGAGCTGACACTGCAGGGAGAGGAGGCAGGGAGGGCTTTTACTCTTGCAGGCTCCATCCTGCTGAAGGGGTCACGCACAGGACCCACGTGGAGAGGACCCAGATCCTTGAGATTCAGCCCAGCCATCCATTCAGGCCAGGACACGGCACGTGAACTGGCGAGGCCAAGACATGTGTGGCAGGGACACTGCCTGAAACCTGTCCCTGGAAGTGACAGCCCCTCCAGGCGCCTCGGCAGCAGCGCTGGCTCTGTGCCACGTGTGTCCCTAGAGCTGTGTGCTGCTCCTGGGGCACCAAGCACTGCCATCTGTCCCAAAACACCGGCTCCTGCTGCTCGGCTCGCCCCTCTCCCCTGTGTGTTTATGAATCAGCCCGTTCTGGGGAGCCAGGGAAACCAACATGCTTGGACACATGGAATGTGTGAGCAATCAGCTGCTGACGGTGACTTGGCAGCGCAGCACGGCTCAGAACCAAGATTAAAGCACAAGGGGATACAGAAACTTCCTTGTCAGCATTGGGAAGGTGAAAGGAAAGGTGAGGAGATGGATCACCATCTCCCTGCTTCGTGTGAGCCTTTGGGAAGGATGCACGCACCCCCCCGGGGCAAACACGCTCCCAATTTCCTGCAGAGGCACAGCCAGACTCTTTCATATGAATCCTCTCATTCCACTGCAATGCCTGGAGGGATTTTGCTCCAGCACACACACACACACACACACACACACACACACATGCACAGGCACCACGTTTGCATTTGGAAACAATCCAAGGCTGGAAGATGCTGCCCAAAAGGGTGACTGGCTCCTGAATGCGCGAGTGCCTGGGAACAGGTGGTTCGCACGGAAATTATCTGGCAGCTGCGACACGTGGCAGGCAGGAGATGATGAAATCACATTTAAAACTAGATTTTAGAAATAATCTCCTCCCTTTTCTTTTCCCCCTAAACACACCCTGCCAGCACAGGCAATAAATCCCAGGCCCACAGTAGTGCTCCCAGAGATCCAGCTTCCACGGCAGTGGTGTCATTCCTCCGTTCTCATCGTGCTCCCATCGCTCTCCCCCACCACGCACACAGAGCACAGCCAGCTCGTGGGGAAAAGCCAGCCTTTATTTCAGAGCCTGTGTGGGTGCTGGCTGTTCTGGCAGCACCCAAAAGAGTGGTGATGGCAGGCATGGGGGAATGTGGCTGGGAGGAACCTGGAGCCTCGATCACGGAGCTCGACCCCCGGGTTAGACTTGTTGCTGGTGACAACAGGGATCAGGATGGGCACAAAAGGATTTAGCAGCAGGAACCTCCCCGATCTCATCCATAAAAGAGGGGAGGAGCTGGTCGCCCTGTGCTGTTTGAGTGGCACCTGGCCCTCAGCACTCACCCTGTCCCCAGCGCGCAGGCACACGGTGCCACATGAGCTGGGCAGCGTGTGAGGGACACTGACAAAAAGATGGAGCAGGAGCAGAGCCTGGTGACGCACCAACGCCTGCTCCGTGGGCCCCCTCTCCATCCAGGCCATCCCATTTGCCTGCACTTTGCCTCCCCACGCTGCCACAACTCCTGCGCAGCCACTGCCGTCACGAGGTCCCCGGGAAAACCGAGCTCTGGAGCATTTCTGGAGAATTTCCCCCGGCCGGGAGCAGCACGGGGAGCCAGGCAGCAGCTGCGCCCGGGGCTGTGCTGGGAGGAACTGCCAAGCACGGCTCGGCCGTGGGCTCCTCCGAGCCTGCATGTGCCCGCTCCAGGCGGGCACGGGGCTGTGCAGCCACATCCCACCCCCCTGCCGCCCACAGCCCGCACCTGCTCCAGCGGCATCCTTCGGCTGCGAGCGGGGATGGAGGCAGGGAGCGACAAGGGAGGGATGGAGGGATGCAGCCTGGCTCGCCCGCACGGAGAGGCACACGCAGCACCAGCCACCCCGCCCGGAGCGCCCGGGCAGCCCCGGGAGCGCTTGGGGTCACCTTCGGCGGGCGCCTGCGGCCAGTTTTAGACGAAAGCCAGCAGGAAAAACATCCCCAGAGCGATGAGAAGCAGGAATGCTGCCCGGGCCGTGCGGCGAGAGCCACGCGAAGCCATGGTGGCACCCGCAGCGCCTCTGCTCTGCGCCCCGCAGCCTGCGGGGAACGCAAGGGATGAGGGAGATGCGGGGGATGCGAGAGATGCGGAGATCCTCTCCCACCTCACCTTCTGCGGGGGGCTGCCCACCGTCATCTCCACGTAGTACCCCTGCCCGGACTTGCCCCGCAGGTTGTCGATCATCTCCACGAAGCTGCCGGCGCTGTCGGGCTCGGTGTCCAGCGGTGCTCGGCGCTGCCGGAGCCCCGACGGCGGGGCCGCGCCGCCCCGCAGCGGCAGCCGGATGCGCGGCGGGGCCGGGAGGGCGCGGAGAACCCCCAGCCACAGCAGCAGCCAGGGCCAGGAAGGCGCCATGGCCGCGGGGAGCCCTCGGGGGACGCGGTCAGCGGGCCCGCAGCGCCCCGCGCCTCGGCGGGGCGGCCGCGCCGGGGCGGGCGGGCGGCGCGGCGGCGGCGGGCATGGCGGCGCGCACGGACCCGCCCCGGAAAGCCCGCCCGCCGGCGGAAGCGCTCACCGAGAGACCCGCCCCGGCCCTGCCCGGTGCCCCCGGCCCTTTCCCGGGCCCCCTCTCCGTCCCCGTCCAGCTGCCCCGGCCCGTCCCTCCCCGCCGGGACGCGGCGGGACGCGCCGCGGGCGGTACCCACGCGTCACCATGACAACCGCAGCCCCCGGCGGCCCCGCCGCGGTGACATCATGCATCCTTCCTCCCCGGCGGCCAATGGGATGGCGAGCATCTCTCCGCCGGCCAATGGCGGCCAGGGGGCGGGCCCTGGCGGAGCGGCCGCCGCGGCTCCCGCGCTCCCGGCAACCGGCGGCACCCGCGGAACGGCGGACGCGGCCCGCGGCACGGTGAGCGGCGGGCGGGGAGGGCCCCTCACCGCCACTGGGCCCGGGGAGTCTCCCCTCGGTGAGCGGAGGCTGCGGGGAGCGGCCCCGCGCCGCGCGGTTCCGGCCTCCCGCCCCCACGCAGGGTCTGCCGGCTCTTGGCCGCGCGTGTGTCGCGGGGGTGCTGTCGTGATAAGGGCGAAAACGGCTTTTCCCCCCCCATTTTAAAAAATACCCTATTAACCAAAGCTGTTTGTCCTCCTTGCCAGCCGCGCTTTTTCCGTGGCTCCGGGCTGGCGCAGCGGCGGCTGCCCTGAGCCTTCGATCCTGCTTACATAGAGCTATAGAATGGGTTTTTGGGTTGGAATGGACCTGAAAATTATTCAATTCAAGCCCCTGCCATGGGCAGGGACACCTTCCACTATCCCAGCTTGCTCCAAGCCCCGTCCTACCTGGCCTTTATCACTTCCAGGGATGGGGCAGCCACAGTTTCTCTGGGCACCCTGTGCCAGGGCCTCTCCACCCTCCCAGGAAAGAATTCTCTCCGCAGATCTCACCTAAATACTCCTCTTTTAGTTTAAAGCCGTTCCCCCATGTCCCCATCGATTATAGCTGCCCCTCAAGTACTGAAAGGTCGCGCTAAGGTCTCCCCATCAGTGGCGAGGCAGATTCTCCAAGAGAGGAGAGAGCCCGTAATTCATCCCCCAGTGCCAATGCCAGGGATGGGAGACTGGGCTGGGATAGTTTGGGGAGAGGAAAAGAGGAACAGAAGGCCCTGAGCGAGTTGCCCACATCCAAAAGCTCTTAACTGGGGACGTTTGGGAGGGGGAGTGGTGCGAGCGCCGTGCTGCTGGTTTGGTTTGGATGTCCTGAGAATATCTTTGCCTGGAAACTGCCAGGATTAGTTGCTGCTTCTGAGATGTTCTTTACATAAGAGTTATAAATACAGAGTGGGCTGAGGACACAGGGAGGTGGAGAGGGCAGTGATGGCCGTGTCACAGGTGGTGATCCTGCTCTGGGTGGTTATCATTGGGGCTACCTGGCAGGTACCACAACCCCCTGGGTCTCATGAGGAATGCTTTCTGCACTGAGAATTTGGGCAGGTTAGGCTGAAATGTTTGACCTTGGCATTCAGCTGTGTGTTTGAGCAGCAGTCGTGGTCCCTCAGGGCTTGTGCTGGCCAAATGTGGCCACACAGAGCCACAGCTGAGGAAGTTTGGGGTGAGGTGGGTGAATTCCAGCTGCGTGAACTGCTGCTGGATGGGTTGTAAGGGCCCAGGCGTGTGAGTCCGTGAGTTAAATCACAAAGCAATGCTTTGGGAAAGTTGCTTGCTTTCTCTTTCTTCCCTTTCTTATTTCACCTTATTTTTTTACCTGGTTAAAAAATGCCTGAAGCATATTTCCTGTAGAAACTGGAAGGCCTGGGGGATCTGATTAAGACTTTGTGCCACTTCAGCTCTGCTCCCTGTTTCCACAGGCCTTGGAAGTGTGTGTGGAAGCTCTTTGATTCGGTTTTGCTGTGTGTGCTGCAGTGGAAGGGCTCTGCCATGTGCTGGGGACAAGGAATTTTCTTTTCTGAGGGCAGTTGTGACTCTGTGCTGGTTCCTCCCCGCTGCCAGGTGTGGGATCCATGGCAGGAGCCGTGCGCATTGGGGACCAGCTCATTCTGGAAGAGGAATACAATGAATCCTACGTTCCTATGGAGCAAGGTGAGCGTGGCCCATCTTCCCAGGAGCTGGGAGAAGGGATTCAGGCATGCAGGTCACTTCCAGGTGTATTCAGAAAACAGGAATTGGTTTCTGAAGTGGGTGAAGAGGTAGAATTCACGGGATTTTAGCGTGAATTAAAAATTTCAACTGGATGTCACGTCCCGTGTCCCCAGCCTGGATGGGCTCTGCAGGCACACAGGAGTTTAGTGGTGGCTTTGAACAGCTTTGTTTTGGGCTCAGGATTTCCCGGTGTGCCCACAGCGGTAGCTGAGGAGGGTGGCTCTGGTGGGTGGAGCAACTTCCCAGATTCCTCTTCTGTTCCCCCAGAAATCCGGGATTTTGCGCCGACAATCGGGATTGACCCCGACAAGGAGTCGGAGCTGCTGTGGCTGGCCAGGGAGTGCCTGGTGACCCCGATGCCCCCGGAGTGGAAGGCCTGGTGAGAGCTCTGGGTGCTGGGGCATTCCCAGTGACAGGACAAGGGGAATGGCTTCCTGCTGGCAGAGAATTGGGTTAGACGGGGGATCAGGAGCTCAGGGCTTTTTGGGGTGGCAGAAGAAGGGGGAAAACTGCTTGGGAAGCTGGATATGAGCAGCCTGGGAGAACTGGGAGAATTTTTGGCCTCCTGGAGACATCACAGTCCTGTTCCCTGAGCTTCAGGTGCTCACACCGTCTGCAAAGATGTTCTGGCCTGTACAGCTGTATTTTTAACGTGCTCTTTCACCTTTTCCTGCTGATTTTGCCGTGCAGCCAAGATATTGCGGGTGGTGACATCTATTTCTTCAACTTTGAAAACGGGCTCTCCACGTGGGAGCATCCCTGTGATGAGCACTACAAGCAGCTGGTGATCCGGGAGAGGGAGAAGCTGCTGGCACGGGGCAGCTTGAAGAAGGAAAAGAAGGAGAAAAAAGAGAAGAAGGAAAAGAAGGACAAGAAAGAGAAGAAGGAGAAGAAAGAGAAGAAGGACAAGAAGGAGAAGCAGTTCCTGAAGCAACTGCCTGTGAGTAGGCAACTGCCTGCAGAGCTGCTGGGGAGGGCTGGGCAGAGGATGACCACGTGGCTTCAAGGACACAAAATGCATTGTGAGCCCAAACCTGGGTGATGAGCAGCAAATCAGCTGGGCTGGGAACACTGAGTACAGAATCACCTTGAATTTTGGCTAGAAGACACTGTGTGGTGAACACACACTCTTGGTGTGTCTGGGAGGGGGAGGACTATTCAGGACCCATTCAGATGGGCATTTGGAAAGCAGAATGTGTGAGTGAATCATGCCCTGTTTCATTACCTGTCCCGTGTGTTGGTGCCTGCTGGGTGTGGGGTCCCTGAGCAGGGTTGCTCCCGCAGCCCCTGTTTGCCCCAGGGGGCTCCTTGTCCCGTTCCAAGGTCAGGGGTGCGAGCTGCACAGCTGTGCTGTCCTGCCAATGACTTCCCTGTGCTTCTCCAGCCCCCAGGCTCCCAGCTGGCTCCCATCCAGCCTCCCCTGGGCACCCTCTCTCCTCTGCGTGGCCTCACCCCGTCTTCATCCATCGCCCTTCGTGGGTCCCTGAACCTGGGCCTGGGGAATGTGGTGGACTCCAGCCTCATCCCCAAGGAAGGAACTCTGGTGAGGCTCCCTCTTGCCTGGGAATGTGCCCTGGGAATTGCACTGCAAAGGGTCACAGGCGTGGGGACACTTAAATGACAGGATTTGTGATCTTCTGTCAGTTTTGAAATACTGTTTTATGTTAAAAAACCTGTATTTCTTTTCTTCTTCTGTTTATAGGGAGCCCAGTGCTAAATTAGTGGTGAGCTTTCTTTTGCCGTGTTTAGCAGATTGAAAGAATTGTTTCTTTAATTGTTGCAGAGGAAAAAAAGTGTGTTAAATTTTAGTAGAATTTGGTGTCCAAATGAAGCATGACAAACCATACAGATAATACAATTTAATATGAAACTATTTTCATGCTTCTCTGTTTGAGAATAAAATTAAAAGAACTATTGTCCTGACGAATGTAAGGTTAACAACCACGTTGAAGGCTTTATTCATTTATTTATACTAGAAAGTGACCTAGGGGATCAATAAAACTTGTTAAATGGTGAGAAACTGATCCTTTAAAGGAAGGCAAAGCAAAATATTTACAATACATAGACATAAACACTTTCAAAAATAAACAAACATGTTAAGTGGTAGGAAAGTGACCTCCCTCCCAGAACCCAGCAGCTGCCTCCTGTCCCAGTGGGTCTCTGTCTCCCCTCTCCTGTTCTCTGACCTCTCACTTCTCTTTCTTCTGACCTCCACAGCCTGCAGAGATATCGAGACCCACCAGCCGCACCAAGAATCTGCTGGATTTGATCTGTGAAGAGAAAAGTTCCTTGAATGTGGCAGTGCCAGAGAAATGGAGAAATGAAGAGGAAGACAGTGAAAATGAGGTATTTGTGTGCCCTGGCTGTTGCTGTGACCAGAGTGCTGAAGCCTCCTGAAGCTCCCCTGGCTTTCATTTGTGCTCTCTTTTCTTTGTGCTGTTTGGTCCCCAAAAAGCATCTGATCCTATTTCCACATGGCATTCCCTATAAATGAACATCTGCCACGGTGTCATTCCAAGATAAATTGGCTGTAGGTGCATTGCCTTAGCTCTGCTGCCCAATTTCATTCCTGTGGCATTGCAGAGGTCTGAACTAAATTTTGGCCATTTATTTATTTCCTTTTTTTTTTTGTTTTTAATCCTTCAGAGTTTCCATGGCACCTCAGGACGGTTTAAAAATGTGTACCTGAATGTTGAAGCCCTGGCAGGCAGCTTTGACTTTGAGGTAGGACCACGGGGATGGGATGGGCAGGGGAGAGCAGCTGTGGCACTGCCAGGGGATGAGGGTACAGGAAGGGTGCCAGAGGGATGAGTTTCCTGCGTCACATAGGAGCAGGAACAACCTGGAGCAGGGTGATGGAGAGGAAGGCACAGCAGCAGGGCTGTGAGAAGCCAGACGTGGCCCACAGGGGACACTGGGGTGGGCGTTGAAGGGAAGTTTGTGCTTGGAGTGGTTGTGGTTTGGTGGCTGGGACTCGAGGGGACATCTCTGCACAGGCTGGAGCTTTGCTTCATCCTCAGACAGGAACAATGAAGGCAGGTAGGTGAAGCAGGGGGAAATCTGCTTTTCCCGGGAACTGCAGGGAAAGGGTCTGGGGTCAGAGGTGCCCCTGCCCTTGGTGTGGGAGGAAGGCTCCATGAGGAAGAGGCACTTCCCTTCTGCACGGTGTTTGTCAGGGATGTGGAGGGAAGGCTCCTTGTCAGCTGAAGCTGCAGTGCTGGCCCTGGGGAGAGGAGAGGGGAACATCCCGTGGGAATGCTCTCGCACTCGCTTCCACGGGAATCTTCACGTGGGCTGCACGTGGCCGCTTTTCTGTGGCAACACAAAACCCGCTTTTCTTTCTTCTTGCCCTGCTGATAAATCCCGTGGCTGAGACACAGAGCATTCAGTGCACCCAGGGCCTTGTGCAGACGCTGTGCTTTCCCTGCGCTTCCTTAGCTGGGATCAGCCTTAAGATGACAAGGGCACAATGGGAAGTGCGTCGTAAGCAGCTCTGGTGATTTGGCCCGACTGTTTGTGCTGACATTAATCCTTTCTCACCGCTTTGAAAATCCTGTTCCAGTATCTGAAAGGCAAATTAATTTCTTTTAAAGTGTTTTAGAGTATTTCCCTCATCCTTTTCACAGCACACGAAAATTAAGCTGTAAAGTACTTTGCTGGAGAACCTATTCACGGTGCTGGGCAGGATCTGCAAAGGCTTATGCTAAAGTGGATGTGACAAAGAGAGCCCTGACTCTCTCATCTCCAGACAACAAGCAGCCTGTGGGGGCTCAATTCCTCACTGAAATGTTAATGTGTGCAGGAACAAAGAGCTGTCTTGGCATTTCAGTGCCTCGGGGATGGGGCTTGGGGAATCTATTATGGAATGGCAATTGCTGCCCAACAGCCAGGCTGTTAAACCAGATGGGTGATAGCCTAGTCCTGATAAGACAGCAGTACCCCGACTGGAAAACAGAATTCTTTTGTAGTTCCATGAGATGGCAGTAGTAAAGCATTCCTAGGAGCGAGCCTCAGCCTGCTCCCGAGCCGTTCTCCAGCTTCCTTGGGAAACAGGAGGCAAGGGTTTGTGTAGCAAGTCCTGAGGGGGAAATCTCAGCAGTAATGGGTGAAATCATGAAAGAACTGCCTTCATGTAGCCCGTGGTCAGGGCTGAATGCCTGTATGCAAAGGAAATAGGAGGCTTTAGGCACTTGCTGAGCCGGGGTGTTGGGTGGAGTGGAGGCAGCATCAGACACAGCTCGCAGGGAGCCCGGAGCTGGGAAGAGTCTGGAGGAGCAGGGAGTTCATGGAGCTGGCCAGCAGGAAAAGCAGCAGTGAAGCGTCCAACTGCTTGATGCTTGGGAATCTGGGTCTGTGAGCTCCCGAGCTCCCAGGAAAGCTGCTCAGCTGGAGAGCTCTCTGCTCTAGGGGTGGGTATGGGGGGTGCTGAGCTGTCCCAGGTGGGCGAGTACTTGGGTGTGGGGAATTCTGCAAGTGGCTGTGTCCCCCCAACTAGGAGAACAGCAAGGAGGAGCAGGAGGACCGTGGCAGCCCATCAGCTGCTGCTGATGCTGCTGAAGCTGCTCCCCAGCCCCACGGGAGCCCTGAGGAGGAAGCTGCCAGCCTGGGAGAGGTGACAGTGGCTCCCTGGCATCCCCGTCCTGCTTGCACGGTGCCACCCAGGCTTTGCATGCAGTAGGCAGCTTCTGGTGTCGTGCTGTGTGTCTGCAGCTGCTTGGCTTGTTTCTGTTGTTGGTTAAAGTTTAATGCTGATCACTGGAAGTAATGATTTGATAGGCAGGAATTTCCCATCAGTTAGAGCCGCTGAGGGCAGGTAGAATGTTACAGATTGTGAAAAGATCACCCCAAGCCAGTTATAACCCAGCTGACTTGTCCAGCTCTGAAATCCCTAGAAAATCTATAGTCTGTTGTTGCAGGAGGAAAAACCTCCCTCCTCCTTCAGCTGTGTGTGTGCCTGGCACAGTTCCCTCTTTGCAGAGTTGCGTTTGTGATCATCAAGGTGTGATGCTGACAAAAGGTTTGCCTGTAATTGCCGTTAAAATAGGATTCTGCCAGCCAAAGAGATTATTCTGGGATATTTTAGTAGCTGAGGTGAACTTGCCTGGAGAGAAGTCCTTTTGTGTGCACACCATTGCTGGTGTATTGATATATTTTGGAGTGTGTGTGATCCTGTGTTCAAGCATCAGAATCCTGCTTGGCCTCATTTGGGATATCCTGGACGCTGCCAGGTCTCCTGGTGGGATGTCCTCAGGAGAACTCTCGAGCAAGTTGTCCAAAAGGGGCATAACTTCCCAGCCACCCTGATCCCCATAAAGGAGAAGCACGAGGGTGACTAAAGAAGTTCCCCTTGCCCTCGTTTCTCTGGGCCCTGCTGTCGCCAGGGGCTGGTTGGTGACTCTGGGAGCCTCTGCAGGACAGGGGCTGTGAGCTGTCAGTACCAGCACATTGCAGGAGAGGCCCAGAGCTGCAGGGATTTTGGGAAGGGCCCGGAGTTGGACTCCTCTGTCCTCTCCATCCCGCTGGATGCTCGCCCGGCCCCAGGGAGGTCTGGCAGAGCAGTGACACACTCAGAACGTGCTGCAGCCCCGGGCTGGGAGCTGACAGCATTCCAGAGGCACTCTGATAAAAATACACCGCTAAAATATGCGCTCAGTGTACAGAACACGCCGTGCACAGGATGCAGGGAATGTTTGACAAGACACCGCGGCATTAATAAAACAGTGAGGAAGTGGGACGTGCGAGCAGGTCTGTTTGCATGCTGATGAGGGAGCCTTCTCCTGGCCATTCCCCTCTCCATGGGCAGTGTTGTGGCCTCCCCGCTGCTGGGAGAGGCAGTTGAACCTTTGGGTGACTAAGCTTTAATTTGGGGTTGTTCTTCCCCCATCTCTCAGCCTCCTCTGTTAGTCACGGGCTCTTTCTGAGCTCTGAGTGGTGCCTCCAGTCAGTGCCCACCCTCCAACCTGTCCCACTGCAAGGTGGGATGGTGATCCTGCCTGCTCTCCTCTGCTTGAAATGTCAGGCAGCAGTGAAATGTCCTGTCATGGTCTCTTACAAATTTCCATCTCTCACTGAACAGATCCAATGTGGAAGCATAAATGAGCCTGCTGTGGGGCACGTCGGGTGCTCTCAGGGGCTGGTGGCCTTGCACAGCCACTCTTATCCACTGAGACCCTGGGAATAAAAAAGCAACAGATCAAAAAAAGTCAGAGCCCAAGAAATGAATGAGATTATGTCAATGGAGTCCCTTGCCTTGGAATGGGACTGTGTGAAAAGAACTCAAACAGGTCTTGAAGTCACCCAAAGATTTGTGATCTTGCTGCTTGCTGTAGGAGAACCTGTGCTGTTCCTGACTCCTGCATCCCCCAGAGAGAATATTGGGTCAGTAATTGTGTTTGACTTGCTGCCTAGAAGGAGTCTTTAAAATCGAGACATCCTGAAGAAGTGCCAGAGTCTTCCTTGGATTCTGGTGCTGCGTGCCCTCCGTCTCCGGTTCACATCCTCCCCGGAGATGCTGACAGCAGCCTGTCTGCCCAGAACGAGGAGCAGGAACTTGCTGGGGATGAAGCTGGGCACAAAGAAGACGCTGAGGTGGAAGGAGATGTCTCTGCAGCTGAGGAGCTGCCTCGGTCCGAGGGGGAGAGGAGTGCAGCAGGGCCGGACGTGGCCGGCTCTCACGGGCAGCCCCGAGCCGCCTCTGCGGCTGCAGCAGAGGCTGGCACAGATCAGCTGGCCAGCCTGGCTGCCACTGCTGACACCGTGTCCTGTGCAGAAAAGGTGCTGGAGGAAGAGAGGGAAGAAGCAGCAGCTGATTCAAAATCAGAGGACAGGCTGGGCGATGGCAAAGTAAGAGATCTGCCTGTGTGGTTTTGGTGTTGGCTGTTCCCATCATCTCCTCAGGCCCTGACTCGGGAAAGCTCTTGGAGCACTGCCTGGTTTTCTGTGAAGCCAGTCCAAGTGCTTTCCTGGTCAGCAGGGCAGCCATTCCCGGGGGGGGCACAAGTGCTCTGAATTCCCAGATGGGCATCTTCAGGACGGAGCTGGGCAGTCATTCCCTCCTGCACACGGCGAGCGCTGCCCAAAGCCAGCGCGTGTTTGGGGTCTGGGAGGAGGAGCAGCCTCAGCTCCCAGTGCTGCCGTCTGTCCTGGGCTGGTAATGAAGCTCACGCCGAGCCCAGCTGTCCGTGCTGCTTTGTTTCTCTCCTTCTGTTGTTTCTCTCAGCTTGCTCAGAGCTGGGCCAGACGTGTCAGGAGCTGCCTGGCGCCGCGTTCGCGGCTCCGCGCGAGGCGCGAGGTTGGAGCGGGAAGGACGGAGCCTCAGGGCTGGTTCTGGAGCTGGGAGCGCAGAACCTTCCAGTCCTCCCGCTCTGGGAGGAGAACTGGCCACGCTGCAGGAGCAGGGGCTTGGGCTGAGTGTCACACGCTGGCCTGGCCCCACAGCTGGGCTGCCACACACGCGCTGTCCGCTCGTGTTCACTTCCAGAGTAGGAGCCGAGCCAGAACACGGGATCTGATGAACGATCTCTCTCCAATCTGGCTGCCTTCCTGCTGATTTTGATGATTTCTCAAGTTCACTGATGCGTAATGTCTGTAAGAAATGATAAACTACAAAACCGAGCCTGGAAAACGCGCTCTGTCCTGAGGAGCTGAGGGCGTCGCTTTCCCAAGCTCGTCCGTGTGCTTTGTGCACCTGAGTTGTTCTGCTGAAGTCAGCAGGGCCACAGGGTGTTCCCATCCAGCAGCTCCCTGCAGCTGCAAATGGAGTGCAGGAGCCCTCGCTGCACTTAGGCACAGCAAAGTGGAATTTTAAAGTGCTTTTATGGCTCCAGTGCTGTGCTGCGTGGTGGGCTGGGAGCTCTGAGAGCTGCAGAGATCCTTGCAGATGGAGAGGAAGCAAGTGCCTTTTATCAGGGGTGTTTGAAGAGCACTTCTTTGCCCTCCCCATCCCCACCTCCTGCCCTCCTGTGAAGTGGTGTTTTGCGCTCGTCCTGTGGGCCACGCATCCTCGGTGTCTTCCCCACGATGTTCAGTCACCTTTTCCTCCCCGAGAGAGGCCAGACTTGTTGCCAGTCGGAGTTGCCGTGTTGGGAATGCCCAGGTGGAGCTGCAGGGGTGGCACATGTACAGTTAAATGTGTTTTTCCTCTCAGCTTTCAAAGGCATCCGGGGTCAGCAGCTGTGAGCAGGACTTGCCCGTCTCCAAGTGCTCCGACCACGAGGTGGTTCAGCCTGTGGTGAGTCACCAAAAGCTCCTTTTTCCCTGGGTGTGGGCTTTGTGTCCCTCTGGGATGGAGCAGTGGGTGCAGTGCTGCACAGCCAGCAGTGCCCCCTGCACCTCGCAGCCTGGGGCTGTGGGTGAGGTGATATCCCAGCACAAGTAGGTCACGTAGAGCTGAGAGTGTACTCGGATAATTGCAAAAAGGCAAATAATGAGCACGGTAAGGATTGTGCTTTAGGGGCTCAGCCGAGGGGGGCCGTGGCTGGAGACGCCGCTGCGGAGGGTCCCGCGGGACAGCAGCGGGAGGGCGGCCCTGCCTCGGGGGAAGATGCCCATCAGCATCTCTTCATCTCCACGGGAAGCTGCCACTGCCATCTGCCAGTGGGAGCAGAGGCAGCGTGGCCAGCAAATGGCTGAGAATATCATTATTTATGCCTTGGTACGAGCCCGTGCTGGCGAGTGGCCGTGCCTTGTGTGGGCACGTGTGTGCGGGGCTGCCAGGAGCGGGGAGCGTCTCGGGGGGTGAATAACTTGTGGGGGCTGGCTGTGAGGAAAGAAATCCCTGAAATGTGCAGCAGTAGCACACAGGGGAGCAGTAGGGGCTGGGGAAGATGTGCCCCCTTTGGATGTTCCACCCTCAGCTGCTAAGGTGGGTGACACAGTGACAGTGCCCTCCATGTGTGGCACTGATGTCCCTTGGTCCCACAGGGAGGGGCCCAGTGAAGGGAAATGCTGCTGAGCTGCCCTGGGATATTGGTCTCAGGATCTCTGGTTGCTCGTCAGAGACTGATCCTTTCTGCTTTCTGTTTTTAGGGCTTGGGCTTCAAGAGCCAGCTTTCCGAGGAGGTTCTGGATGTGGGGACTGTGTCTCCTGATTTGGACAGCAAGGTCAGTGCTGTGTGAGGGACTCAGGGGTGCTCTGTGAGCAGGCAGCTGGGGTCCTGTGGTGGGGTGCTGTCACTGAAGGCTTTGCAGAGGTGAGCAGGGGTTATATGAAGTGCCAGGGCTCACAGCAGCACCGCCAGTGCTTTGTTTTCTCTGCAGAGAGGAGGTGCAGGTGGCTACACAAAGAACATAAACCCTGAGCAGAGGTGGCTGGAGGGGTATACACAGGCAGGCTCCTGGGTGCTCTCCCTGCCCCAGGAGGAGAGCCAATAAATGGCTTTCCTGGGGAATGGAGGAAGTAGAGTCTATTTTCCTTTCTTCTTTTGTGAATATATTTGTCCTTTTCTTTCTCTTAAGCAGATGGGAAGGATTTGTGTGGCAGAACATGATAGAATCAATGGGAAGAAAAGGAGGTTAACTCCCTCTGACAGATTTTGGTAGAGGGAAGCTTATTTTGAAGCATTTGGTTGTCTTGCCTGCTTTAATGTAGGGGGGAAAGGGGCTCCTTTCAGTGAGTCTGTGGCACATGGAGTGTACGTGTGCACATGGCTGTGTCAGCCCGGGGTGCAGCACCGGACAGGCAGCTCTGCCTGACGATTGCTGTGCATCTCTGCTTCATCCTTGTCTTCTCAGCATGGTTCTGAGTTGGCTTGCTCAGCCCCACGTTCCTCTGGAGCCCTCCCGCTCCATCTCTGTGTGGGTTGGAGGCAGGATCCAGGATCCAGCTGGGGTTACTCAGCCTTGCCCTGATTGTGAGCGGATCAGCTGCTCTGGAGGAGAGAGCCTGAGTGGCAAACTCCCCACCTGTCCAGCAGAGAGGAGCAATCCTGTTTGCAAGGTTGTGTCTGGAGAATACACCTGTCCTCTCGTGCCTAATAATGAGCATAATCAGATGTGAAGGGAAAACAAAACATATGCCTGCTGTGCTCCCCCTCTCCCTCCCCGCAGCGCAGGCACCGCGCATGCAAATGCTGCTGGAGCAGCCACGCTTGGGTTTATTACAGCCCTGTTTGGGGAGAGGTGGGTGTGAAATGGTGCTCCCTGCAGAACTGCAGCTGCTCTTTTGTGTCTGTGCGCAGAGGCTCGTCTGGAACGGCTCGGGGTTGTAGGAATGTGCCTCCTTCCATGTGAGGAGCTTGCCTTGCTTTGAATATATTGGCGAAATATTCTGTTGTTAAAAAAGAAACAACAAAAAGAAACCAAAAGACGCCTCTGGCAGCTCTGTGGGCACAGAATTGGGGTTTTGTTGGTGTGGGATGTGTCCTGCTGGGCCTGGCAGAGGGGAGGCTGCTCCTTCTTCCCTTCCCTTCCCAGGGAGTGCAAGATGCAGAACCTGGAGTCGTAGAATGTCCCGAGTTGGAAGGAACCCACAGACGTCATCAAGGTCTAACCCCTGGCCCCACACAGACACCCCAAAATCCCACCCTGTGCCTGAGAGTGCTCCTGGAGCTGCTCACTGTCACTGCCCCGGGGCTGTGACCATTCCCTGGGCAGTGCCTGGCCCTCAGGAGAAAGGCAAACCTGTCCCAAGTGCTCAGTGCTGGCACCTTGCAGCATGATCTGAGCTGATGTGAGATGTCCCCTGGGATCTGGGCTGTTCAGAGGGAGGAGATGGCCCCTTATCTGTCATCCCTGTGTTCACACAGCTGGTTCTGTGGCTTGAGCATGTGAAGTGTCCTCTGGGGATGCAGCTGGGTGGAAAACCGAGCTGCTTGGGGTTCTGGGGCTGCAGGAGGGGCAAGGATCCGATAATTCCGCGGACAAGGCTTAAAATCTGCCCTCGTTCCCTGCAGATGGGGGCTGTCTTCACCTTCCAAACATGTCCAGAGGTTCCTGCAGCCCACGATTCCTCTGGAGGAGGAATCCCTGCCAGCCCTCTGTTGGGCAGAGGGGCAGTAGGAGCCCTGTGCATGAGCTCAGAGGAGTTGCCCTCTCTCCAAGGTGATCTCCTTCCCCACTTGTCTGGCTCCTTCCCGTTCCCGGGCAGTGGTGACAGAGCCCATTTGGAGCGAGGAAACATTTGCTGAGCTCCAGTTCTGGGGAATTGGAGTCATCAGTTACAGGGGCAGGAGGGGGCTGGGGGGCTGTGCCCAGGCTGATGAGATGGAAGGTGACAGCACTTGCAGGGAATCCTTCTGCCATTTGCTCCAGTGAACATTTGCGTGAATTACCGTGGCTTTAATTCCGCCCCGTTTTGGCCCTGCTCCACGCACGCAGGGGCTGAGCTCACCTGCTGGCTGCCCCAAAAATTTATGAATGGGCCCTCCCTGTGGGGCTGAAGTGGCCCTCAGGTGGCCCTGCTGCAAGGACAGGGAGATCTGGGAGCTGGCAGGTGGGGAAAGGAGCAGCTGACATTCAAATATCTCCTATTCATATTTCAAGTATTTACTATGCCATAAATGAGCCAACTGAAGGCTCAGTGTGCTGCCAAGGGGGATGGATCCAGGAGTCAGAAATGCCTGGGCTGGTGGATCTGTGCAGCCCATCACACCCTGCCCCAGAGCCTGGATGGGAGGCAGGGCTGGGTCCTGATATGGTTTTTGGTCCCAGACAATGCATCCTTTGCTTCATTGCCACAGCACTTTGTGTGTGACATTTCTCTTTTAGGAGATTTCTCTCCTGTGCTTTCCAGAGAGTTCAGTGTGGCTTGGGATGGTAAAATGACCTTCAGGAAAGAAAAGCCAAACCTGTGTCCCAAGTTTGCAGTGCTGGCAGGGAGTTCATCTTTTATCCTGGGAATGCTGAGCTCCCAGGCCTCCCCTCGTGCTTCTGGAAGGATTCCTGGGATGGTTGGAGATCCTTGGGTACCCTCAGGAGAGGAGTCTGGCACATCCAGTGTCCTGGCCCAGCTGATTCCATCAGCAGAACTCCTTTGAGGTCTTTGATGGTGAAGGAGCCACAAACTCCACCCTGTTTGCTTTTACCTGCAGGCCCAGGAGCTGGGAGAAGAGGGAAAAGACCAAAGCAAAGGCAGTGTAGAGGAAGAGCAAAGGAAAAGACCAAAAGCTGCTGAGAGGTATGGTACAAAGGCACGGAGGAGACGTGGGCAGCTCCAGAGTTTCCTGCCTTGCCCTCCCTGCTGTGCTCCCTGCAGCCTGTCCAGGTGTGCCCTGCCCTGCACCCCCAGGTGCCGCAGCCTCTCACAGGGGCTGTCCCACTGAACCCCTCGCTTCTCCTGCTGCCTCCTCAGCCCTGTCTCAGAGGCTTCTGCCTGGCTGGGCAGCCAAAGTGCCTGCCCAGCCTTTCCCTGGGGCTGCCCCAGCTCTGGCAATGCCCTCTGTCTCCCTGGCAGTGCCCTTGCCAGGATGGTCTGAGCCTGCTCATGCCGTGTGCTGGGGCCCTGGGCTGTCAAACAGGGCAGATGTGGCCCCTGCCATGGCCTGGTGCCAGCCATGGTCCTGCCTGTGGCTAAAGGCTCTCAGGTGTCTATTCCTGATGCCAGGAGAGTCCAGCTGTGATGGGAGCAAGTTCTCTTCCTTCCACAGAGGTGGCCATGAGCAGGTGTGAGCATTAAGCTGTTTTGTGTCCTGGCCTGTGGGCAGATCACCAGCTGTTATCCCAAGGGGAACGCTGGCTTCCACACCCCACTTACCACGGGCTGTCCAGGGGAGCTGTTTTCAGCCTCTTTGTGGGGATTTGTTTGGAACAGTTGGAATGCTGTTCTGAGCAGCGAGCTCTGTGCTCCCTCGAGCTCCTCCTCCTTGGAGAGCCCCAGGCTGGCATTTACAGATGAGTTGTGTCAAAGCTCTTGGCCTCCATGCAGAGCAACACGTTCTCCAGGGCACTGGGAACCAAGGAGCCGCTGCCCGTGCCAGGAAAATTCATGAGCAGAAGCTGCAGTCCATCTAAATGACTGGCTTGGTGGGATTTGCAGCCTTGTTCTTGGAGGAGCTGCTGGTGTGAGGGTCTCCAAAAACGTGTTCTGCCCGCAGGAATTGTCTCCTTATCACTTGGTTCCTGCTTCCCAGCTGAGCATCCTCTTTCTCTCTGCCTGTGAAGCTGCTCGTGCTTGCCTTGTCTCTCCTCTCTGTGCTTCTGAGATGAAGTAGGACTGTAGATACAAGCATGCCTGCCAACACTTCCATCTGTAATTTGGACAGCAGTGTGAGTATGGCTGATAGGGCTGGCGCACCTTGGGGACGTTCTCCGAGGGCCTGGAAAGAGCGGGATAACCCAGGGAAGGGATCCAGCACTCTGAGGCTGATGTCCATCGTATCCTCAGCTGCCTGTTAGTCCAACACGAGGTGGTGGGAACGGTGTGGAGCGTCCCCGTGGCGCTGGCAGCCCCGTGTTGGCCAGGCAGGTCCTGTTGGCAGGCATGGCTTGGTGCCCACCCGCGTCACCTGCACGTCCTTGTCCACCTGCAGCAGCCACTTGAGTCTGACCTGAGCTAATCTGATCTTCTGTCCCCTCTTCTGTGCTGCCAAGTGAGAGGGATCTCAGTGCTTGTGAGACACCAGTGGAGCTTTTCGGGTTAGAAAATCCCGATGGGGCGGAGGCTGCGGAGCCGGAGGAGGGAGCCCTGGATAGCCTGGTGGATCCCGAGGAGCTTCCTGCCCCACACAGCGTGTAAGGGCTTCGTGTCAGTCCCTGCTGCTGTGACTGTGCCAGCTTTTGTCCCCCGTGGTGGCGTGTGAAGCGGGAGCTGCGCTCTGGGCACAGCTCCGTGTGCACATCCCAGCAGCTGTTCCCTGGCACCGGTGAGCAGCCTGTGCTGGGCAGGGCAGGGCAGGGCAGCAGCTCAGCCCTCGGGGTCTGTGCCTCAGGGCTCCGTGGGATGAGGGAGAGCTTTGCTTTGTTTTTGGGAAAGCCTTCCCGTGCCGAGGCTGCGATTCCACGCGGTTTCTCCTTTGCTTCCACACAGAACTTGCTGAGTGGTGCTGAGCTGGAGGTGGAGAAGGGTAAAACCCCATCGATTCACCCCGTTTTACACCCTCTGGGCACGTTGGTGGCGTGGGAACAATGAGTTGAGAGTGGGCTCCTGCCCAAGCTGCCGTTCTGTGCTGCCCCACGGGTGGTGTTTGTGGATTCTGGGTGTTTGCAGCTCCCCGAGACACGGGGGCTCAGGGAATGTCAGCGTGCTGACTCTGCGTTCTGTCACAAATGACACATCAGCAGATGCAGCTGGAAGAAATTAGGCAGCGTGTCTCTGAGGACAGGGAGTCTCTGTTCTGATAGGAGCTGTGCTGCTGTGTGAACGTGTGTGTGTGTGTGTGTGTGTGTGTGTGTGTGCTGCCTGGGTCTCCTCTGGAGCAAAACCTGGGGCAGAAGGAACAACGAGGTGACCAGGTGGAAGTGGCTGAATTGCTCTGCAGAAGGATGAAGGACACCTGCTGCAGGTGGTGTCGTGTGGGGGGCACCAGTGAAGGGAGATTGTTCCAGAACCCCACTACTTTCCTCTGTCTTGCTCTTTTTGCTAATGGCTGCAGAAATGACCTTTTCTCTCCTGACTGGAGGCTGAATAACTGGGGCTGTTATTTCCCTGATTCCTGGCACAAGTCCCTCTGCCTTGCACTGCCAGTCTCACAGCATGGTGAGACCTTCCTGCTCCAGCCTTCACTAGCAAAGAAGAAAAATCTTTCTTCCTAGACTAATCTCAATTTTCCCCTCCTTTCCCTTTAGCTTCACTTATAATTTTGCTGCTGTCTGAAAAAAAAAAAAACTTAATTAGAACCAGATTGGGTTTGAATTTTTGGAATGCTGAGGGCTTTCTGTTGCCTGGAGCTGTCAAATTCCCAGCACACTTTAGGTTGCAATTGCGGAAAAATACCTGGTCCATGAGAAGCAGCAATCCCTGGGCTGGGAGCAGGTACTGATGGCATCTGCTCCTGTGCCTGGCTGCCTGGCCAGGGCTTTTCACCGAGTGAGATTTTATTGACCTCACAAGGTGAGCTCTGGTGGGCCAAAATCAGAATTATTTAGGCCTGGAGTGCAGCTGGGGCTGGGTTCAGTTTATCAGTTTATCAGTTGGAGATGCTTTGGGAGTCACCAGGAGGATCTGCCAGTGATCCTCAGGATCCACCTCAGGCCAGCAGTGAAGCTTTTGGAGTAGCTGGCTCTGAGATTTTTGGTTTGGAGGTGATGCTCTGTGGAGGAGGTTCCTGTTCCTTTTATGTCACTCTGTTTTCTGTCACTCTTTTGCCAAAGGAGCTTTTTCTCTTTGGTAGGCAACCTGAGAAGGAAATGGAGCAGTCCTTGAACCAGCCTAATGATGAATCCCTGGAGGAAATAGTCAAGGAGGTGGAGACGGAGCTGGAGCAAGAGGAAATACATTTATTTCAAGCAAAGGAGGAGAAAATTGAGCAATTCCAGGAGGAGATGAAGCAGAAGGAAGAGGAGGAGGAGGAAGCTGAAAAGCTTCATCAGCAAAAAGAAAAACCCCTCAGGTACTTTCTTTTTTTACTCCATCCCCTCCGAGGCTTTCCAAGGTGGGATTTCATTGCTGCTGGCCACAGACTCGTGTTGCTGCAGCCAGCACCTGGGGAGTGGTGCTGGGGGAAGGAGCAGGATCAGGGCTCTCAGGGAGGAGGAGGAGGAGGAGGAGGAGGAAGGACAGTCTTTGGCACAGACAGTTCTGTGTGAGGATGTGCAAACCCCAGGATGGAGAGTGCTCCACTGGCAGCTCAGGCTCTCCCAGCCTGACAGGAGGGGCAGGAGAGCATCCTGCAGGATGGGCTGTGCTCCCACACACACAGAGCTGTCAGTTATGGTTAACCTGGGAGAAGTTTCCAGCTCAGTGCTTGGAGCTCTCCCACCTGGCAGATGTTCAAACCCTGGGCTAAATGGTGGGAACAGGACGGGAAATGGGAGCTTTAGAGGAGATGAGGAGCTCCAGAGGAGCTATCTGGAGTTCTGATAGGGGATGTTTTACAGAGGGACTTCCAGACAAGGCTTCTAGCAACAGGGATGGCTGTGGGAAAGCAGGATGTGAGAGCGGTGCAGGGGATGGAACAGCCCTGGGAGCTGTGTCCTTTCCCTGGGGGAGTTTTCCTCTTGAGGCTTCTGTATGAGCTTGCTGGACTTGATGCTTGTGTTCTGAGCAGTCAGAAACAGCATCTTGACATGAAACAGTGTGGGGATGCAGTCTGGGTGTGAACAAGATGGAGAAACGGTGCCTGAAGGGGGAAAAAAAAGTGTACAAAAGGTATAATATGGAAATATGGAGCTTCCAGATGTGCTAATGCATCTTGAACCTTGCCTGGGAGCCTGCATCCATTTAATGAGAGTTGATTTCACTTACCTGCAAAACAAAAACAAAAACAACCAAAAAGAAGTGTAAGCTATGATGATACAGCAAGTTTTAAACCCACACTGCTCAGGTTTGGTGCTGGGGCTGGCAGCAGCAGGTCCTGCAGCTGTGGGGAGGAAATGCATGTCACCACAGCCAGTGAGATCCCCAGCTGAGCTGAAGCCCTTGGAGAGGGGACTGGGAGATATTTGAGCCTCCTGAACCTATTTTCTCCCTTTTTATTTTCTGTCTCAGCACCCCAGAAGAAGATTTGGCGAAATCTGAGCAGGAAGAGGAAGAGTTGCTTGTCAGAGAGGAAAAAGCCAAGAGACTGGAAAAGCTGCGAGCCCAGATTGCCTCAGAGATGGAGGCAGAGGAGGAGAGGATGAGGTGAGAGGTTCTGGTGCTGTTCCTGGGGATATGAAGCGCTGCTCTGGGGGGAAGGGTCAGGCACATCCCCAGCAGCTGCTCAGAGGCAGCTCCTGAGCCTCTCTGGCCCCAGCAGCTCCGAGCCCCGAGTGTCCAGTGCTGGATCTGATTGCTGTGCTCTTGTTCCAAACCTACCAGGGCAGAGCAGGAGGCCACGCTGCAGAAGCTGAGGGAAGAGTGGGAATCCCAGCAGCTGGTGGAGAAGGAGAGCCTGGAGAGGAAGCAGCAGCTTGCCTTGGAGGAAATGAAGCTGGCAGTGGAGGAAGCCAGGCAGAAGGAGATGAGCGAGCTGGAACAAGAGAAGGAGCAGTTCCTGAGCAAGCTCAGGGAGAGGTTAGACAGGGAGAAGAGGAAGGTGAGATCTTCATTGCCAGGCAGGGCCGGCCTGGAGCTGTTCCTGCTGGCCTGGCTGGCAGTGCCAAGTGTCGGGGCTGGCTCACACCTGCAGTGCTTCAGTGACAGCTCACTTACAGCACCAAGGGCAGGTGCCAGCTGGGCTGGGCAGGAGAACTCTCCCAGTTGTTGTTACAGTGGTGATTAACTAATGATTATTTCAATGGCCACTCTGCATCTGAAGACAAGATAAGGATCTCTGGGTGTCTGGCCTAAACCCTGTTATCAGATCAGAACTAAACTGAGCCACTTTATCAGCTCCCAACACCTCTTGGGCTGCTGCCTTATTCCTGCAGGGACCTGGGGAGCCATGGAATAGGCTCCAGTTTCCAGTCCCTCCAGCACAGCATGACAGATCCATCCAGATCCCCTGGGAGGGACAGCACAGAGAGAGCAAAGGCACCTTGTAGTGATCCCGTTTGGAAGGGGAGGGGTTACTGCTGTGCTTTTTGATGCTTTAGAATTTAATTGCAAATGCACCTTGTCCCCACACGCAGAGGTTTCCCAGCAGACTGTTTTGTGTTTCCATAGGCAGCAGAGGAGCTGGAAGAACAGTTTGCCAGTGAGCTCCAGCAGCTGAAGTCTGCAGCAGAAGAGAAGCACCACGAGGTGAGGATGGTGTCCTTACAACGTCAATCGTTGGGTTTTATTTTTATTTCACGCTGTCACCAAAGGTGGCCAGGGATTAATCCAGGTGTCACCAAAGGTGGCCAGGGATGGTGGCATTAATCCTTTTCCCCTCCCTGGCTGTGGTTCTGGTCTGGCTCAGTGTTTGGCCGTGCTCCAGGCGGGGGGTGATGAGGCTGTGCCGTGCTCTGTCGAGGGCATGGAACGGATCCTGCGGGAAGGGCTGACAAGTCTCTGTGGGTGGCTCTCCTGGCAGGTCATTTCCAGCCTGCAAGCCCAGCTGGCAGAGGCACAGAGCAGCCAGGAGGCCCAGCTGCGTGAGGAGCTGCAGAGGGCAGATCAGAAAGTGCAGCAAAAAGCCCTCAAAGTGAAGGAATACGAGCGTGAGGTGAGCGTTGGTTTTGTGCTGAGGGCTCCTCGCTCTCCTCAGACGTGGGGTGAGCTCTGAGAGCCCACATCCCCTGCCCATGACAGCCCTGCCTTCAGGGCAGGACATCCCTCAGTGTCACCTCCCCGGGGCGAGGCTTGGTGCTCCCCAGGACACAATCCCTGACCCCACTCTGGGCCCGGGTGGGAGGCTGGTTTTAGGGAGGCCACTCCGGTGCAGTGCTGCAGTTCAGGGAAACCTCTTTCCCTGCCACCCCTGCAGCTCAGCGAGCTGATGAGCGACAAACGCCGGGAAGTGGAAAAAGAGCACGAGAGGAGAATGGAGAGGATGAGGGAGGAGCACCGGGAGGCCCTGGCGAGGGTCCAGGAGCAGTACCAGGAGGAGGTACCGCCGGTGGGGGTGTGATGGGCCGGGTTTCCAGTGAGTTCTGAGCGTGTGTGCATTGCTGGGGAGCCCTGTGTCTCTCAGAGGTGTTTCCCTGTGTCCCTGGGCCGGGCAGGAGCGGAAGCAGAGGTCGGAGCTGCTGGAGGGGCTGCGGAGCGAGGCGGCGCGGCTGCGGCAGCTCCACGACGCCGACGTGAAGGGGCTGCAGGCAGAGCTGGAGGGGAGGCTGACTGCCCTGCAGCACAGGCACAGGGAGAAGGTGAGCAGCAGGCTCTGCCTCTGGCCCCTGGGACTCCTGAGGGATGGCCTGGAGGCTCCACACCTTGTCCCCTGCCACCCTGCACAGCCCAGGGGGACAGACTCGAGTGGCAGATCACGCTTCCCAGTTTGTGTTCCCCTGGTGAGGGAGGAGCTCGTGCCTTTCTCTTTAACTCAGCTCCCTGTGCAGGAAAGGAAGCTCCAGGATTCAGAGAGAGAGCTTGAAATCCGCATGAAAAACATCCAAGCCAGATCGGAGCAGCTCCTCAGCCAGGTGAGCCGGGCCCACAGAGCTCCCCTGATCTGTGCCAGTCCTTTGGCTGCTTCCGCAGGGGGAAGTGTTCAGGAAAGCTCAGCCAGGGCTTCTGCTGCCATCCCACTTACAGCTAAAACTGTGTCACAAGTCAGAGCAGGGCTGAGCATTCCTGGTGCCGGTGAAAGTTCGAGCTCTGGGTTTGGAGGGCAGAGAGTGGCTGTGAGGAGTCATAAAGCAAATCCAAACAACAGTCCTTGTGTGTGTTTTGGTCTTGAGACTCAGGCCTGAGGTGCTGCTCAGCATCAGCAGTGTCCTGGCTCTGACACTGCCCTCTCCCCTGTCACAGGAGGAGTCCCTGCAGAGGAGGAGGCAGCTGCTGCTGGATGAGGACGGACGGATGCAGCTGGAAAGAGAGGTACGGACACCTGGGCTCTGGAGAGAGGCTGAGGGCAGCACCTCAGGACTGGGGCTTTAGGAAAACAAAGTGCTGGCAGGTGGGTTAGTTCTGAGCTCTCAGCCCTGTCCTCCCAGCATTGGTGTGTGGTTGTGTAGGGTTGGGACCCTGTGAGCTGTGTGCCCCTTGTTTCACTCTTGGGGAAATGACTGTGAGGGACTTGGTGGTTTTCTTCCAGGAAGCTGCTCTAGCCTCTCAGCTGCGGCTGGAGGAGAGCAGGAAGGAGCATTCCAGCCTCCTGGAGTCCGTCCGGCAGCTGCGGAGGTCCCTGGAGGAGCTGCAGGACCAGAAGGCTGAGCTGGAGGCCCAGGTGGACTTGCTGCAGAGCCGGAGCCAGAGGCTGCAGAAACGCATTGGGTGAGTGTGAGAAGTTCCCTCTGATACCAAAACATCTGCCCTGTGCCCCTGACAAACCTCTGTAACCCAGCCTGGGCCTCTCCCTGACCTCTGAGCTCCGTGGTGGGCCATGTTCCTTCCCTGAGGTGAACCATGGAGGACACAGAGCTGCTGGGGCTGGTTCCAGATTTATTAACTCAGGGTGTGAATTTGGATTTGCTCCTTCAGCTCTGCATGTCAGGTTTGTTTGTGTCCTCCACTCCTGCCTTGGATGAGGTGCTGTGAGAGGGGCACTGAAATGCAGAGAGCTTCTCCTGAGGTGGCTGAGCTGCTGAGGAAGGGTGGGAAGCAGTTTCCCTGCCCAGCCAGGGCTTACACTCGGTGTAACACCACAGCCCCAGCCCTGGTGCTGTTCTGCACACCTGTGGCCCTCTCCCTGCTGGAATCTGGAGGCCACTCTGGACACCACTGCAGGTTAATCAAGTGCCTCTGCTGTTACTTTTTCCCGTGGCAGAGAGCTGGAGGAAGCAATCAGGAGCAAACAGGAGGCTCTGAAAGAACTGGAGGCAGAAGAAAGTGTGGAATCTCCAAGAAAGAAAGCTGAGCTCCGTGTTGAAGACCTGAGAGAAGCTCCTCAAGCTGTGAGTAAAGCAGCCTGTGAAGGTGTTTGCCTTGTGAGATCTGAGAATGAAACTCCCTTGAAAATCCTGGCATTTGTGTGAAGTCATTTGAGATGCAGAGATGGAATTCTCTTTGCTGGTGTGTTCAGTAGTATTTGCAGATGTCTGTCTATTATTAGTGGGTGGAGAGGAGTGTGGGATACTCAAATCAAAAGCAGGGCTCGTTTCAGGATAGAAACATCATTGTTACCTTCGGAAGTCACATCAAGAGCACCCTGGTGCTGTGTTTGGATCTGGGCAGTGCCATGGCGATGTCATTCCAAGCTTTTGCTCCTCACTGGATTTTTAGGGGGCCCTGGGCTTCTGTTTCCCCCATACTTATTTCTCAGTTTTTGCACTGTGTCACCCTCTCAGCACTCGTCCAGAGAGCCCTCCCCAGCCTCTCAGAGCCCCGAGGAGAGCGTCCTGCAGTTTGATGGGTGAGCGTCCACGTGCCAGGAGCGCTTTCCGCTCCGCCTTCCCTGCCTTGGGCTCGCACAGCGGGCACCGAGCAGCCGTTTTTGGGGTGCTGTGTGGGGTGTGCAGCAGCACAGGGAGCCAGGCCAGCCCTGCCTGTTCCCCGCAGGGTCCGGAGTTACCTCTCTGCCGAGGGGCAGTCCCTGCGCAGCGCCAAGGAGTTCCTGCTGCGCCAGAGCCGCTCCCTGCGCCAGCGGCGCTCGGCGCTCCGGGCTGCCAGCCTGCAGTGGCACCAGCAGCTGCACAGGGCCCAGGGGGACGTGCAGGGTCCCGACAGCTCCCAGCTCCTGCAGGGAATGCAGCGCAACCTGGAGGAGGTGAGCCTGTGCTCGGGTGTTTCCCGCAGCCCTGCTTTCAGCTCCTGGCTCGTGGTCCTCTTGATGTGGGCTCGGTGAGCCCTTGGTTGTGGGGTTGGAAGTGGAACCTCCTTTTCCTTGGGCTGAATCTGCTTTGAGCCATGTGCTCTGCTCACTGTTCCCCTTCCCACACTCTGGAGGGCTTGGGAGCCATTTCACTGCAGCAGCACTCCCCGTGCTGGGCAGGAGGAGGTGATGAAAGTCACCCCAGCTCCTGTGGGGATCATTTCCTGTCATTCCTGTTGAATTTCCCTCCTCGGCATGGCTGTTGGTCTGTGCAGGAGGCTAAGGAGCTGGACAAGATGAAGTCAGCCATGCAGAAAGGACAGGTGCTGCTGAAGAAGAAGGAGGAGAAGCTCAGCCAGCTGGAGTCCTCGCTGCTGGAGGAGGTAAACTCCAGCTGCATTCCCCCTGCCCACAGCTCTTGGCCTCCTCCCCCAGGCAGGGGGCTGTGAGGGGCTCGTGGTGTTCAGCTGGTGTTTGCCAGCAGAGCTGGGTTTTGGAGACACTTTCTGTGAGAGCACCAGACTGCTGAGTGTGTGGCTGTAGAGAGCAGCTTGGAAAAGCTGCATGGATTGAGCCTGGAGAAAACAAGGGCAGTTCACCTCGTGTGAGCTGGGATGGAGCCTGCTCTCCTGGCCAGGGCAAACCCTGGAATCTTTGGCTGTGCCTGGGAGCAGCAGATGCAAGAGAACCAGACCTTTGATGGTCAAACTCGTGGCCCTGGGCAGAGAACCCAGCCCTGCAAGAGCTGTGAGGTTATTCACAGCACAAGCCACGGTGACTCCTGCAGGAAGGGCTGGTTCACGTGGCTGCTGGCTTTGGCCTCTTGCACTTCCAGAGCCAGAGCAGTCTCTGGACATTGAGATGTCACTGTCAGGGGCTGAAGACAAGTTTGCCTTCACTTGACCTGTGCCTGACTGCAGTCCAGCTCTCTAGACAAGCTGTAGGCAGATTTCCAGTAGCTCTTATGTTCCTGGGATGATACAGCAGGATTTACTGGCATTGTTTTCCTCCTCCTGACCAGCTCTCAGATGAAGATACACTGAAGAGTTCTGCATGCAAGAAGGTGGTGACTTTTGATCTGAGCACCTCTGAGGACACAAACAGCACGTCCAGTGTGCATCTGGGCCAGTCTAGACGTAAGTGCCCAACATGTGAGGCTCTAGGCTTGTTCTGCCTTTCCCTCTCATCTCTCTGATTTCCCTGTTCTCATTTGTGCTCAGCTGTGTCCAAGGCAGGTCTGGGACCGCTCTGTGTACCACACCTGATTGTGAAAACTTGCTTCCTGCATGTAGTGGCAGATAAGAGGGATGGGATCTGTGAGTGAACCTGCCTTTTAAATCTCTGTGGATTATAAAATCTCTGATTTCCCTCAGATCCTGCAGATCTGTACTGCTCTTCTGCAGGAGTCTGGGCTTCCTCTTCCTCACATCCATGGCAGGAGAAGCTGCTGCAATTCCCTCTCTGCTGCTTGTGCTTTTTCTTGGGCTTTGGTTGGCTGTGACTGGAGTTGTGCTGGGGGAAGAAGGGCAGGCAGACAGGAGGCTCGGGCTGCTTGCACAAAGGCTGCTCGTGTTAGGCCTTGTCTGTGATCCCTTTCTTCCCCTTTCTTCCTTCAGCTGACTTGAGAACGGATTTCTGGCCCGTGCTGCAGCAGGACAAGATCCAGCACCTGAGGGACTCGGTGCAGAGCATCACCAGTGAGCTGAACGGGGTCCTGGGGCTCCTGGACTCCCTGAGCCATCACCAGTCTCCTCTCCTCACCTCCACAGCCCGTGAGGGCGTCCTCCTTCCCACATATCCCTCCTTGGGAGGCCTGAGGGGGGGCAGCTCCCTGGGGAACCCCCCCAGGGTGTCCCCCCTGGACCAGTGGGCCCGGAGCAGCGGGCTCAGCTCCACTTACTCCACCTCAGGGCAGTCAGTGGACAACATGCTGGCAGAGAAATGGCACAGGTATTTCCCAGGTGAGTCTCCTGGCCTTGTTCCACCTGCTTTGCTGCCTGCAACTTCTGCTTTTGTCTCACGCTTCCAGGGCTGGGAAGGGTGGGTGCTGCTGCTGGGACGGGTGCCAAGAGGGTAAGGGATGAGAAGCTCATTCCAGAAGTGCAGCATGTGGCTGCTCCTGTCATCCTGCTCTTTAATCCACACCCAGGGAAGCAGCAAAAGAGGAGCCAGCCCCCTCCCAGTGGCACGTAGGGATCTCCATCTGCTTCCCTGGAGTCCTGGCAGGGGCAGCCAGCACAGCCAGATCCCTGGGCTCTGTGGGCTCTGTGTTTAATGTCTGTTTTCCAGGTGGGTTCTCGTCACTCAGTGGGAGTCCTGAGCCTCTGGACAGCAAGCTGGGATATGTCCCTGCAGAGTAAGGGCTTCTTCCTTGAGATGTTTCACTTAGGTCATTTACCATGTAACAAGTAGATAACAATTTGATAATTACTATGAACTACTAATTAAGGAGAAAAGGTGAACTATCAGTGTATATATTAGAGGAGGTATTTTTTTTCTTCAGCAGCCCATCACTTTCTCATCTCTGGGATAATTTTTTCCCAGACCTCCTTTTTCTGCACTTACCCTCTCTCTCTCTCTCTCTCTCACTGCCGCAGTGAACAAATCCGGCTCTTCCAGCATTCCAAATTCAGTGAGCCAGAGAAGAGGAATATTGAGGGGATGATTGAGAGCAGCAAGAAATGGCTGAAAGGCTTCAAGAAGGAGTCCAAAGTGTATCTTTTACCTGGGTCTGGGCTTTAATTGCATTCCAGCTTCCTGCAGAGGAGGAGGGTGGCAGGAGGGGTGTGAAATGAAGAATGGAGCAGCAATTTCGAGGCCTTGGCCTCTATTCCAGTGATTCTGCAGAGGAATGTGGTGTTTAGCTGATGGAGCAGGAGTGATCTGTGTGCTGCTCTCTGAGCTGTACTTGACTGAGGAAGTTCCCCTGGTTGAGTTGTGATGCTCTTTAGCGATGCTGCTCAGCTGTAAAGGAGCAGCTTGAGCTGGGAATGTGAGGATTTAAAAATATGGGCCAAATAGTGCAGAATGGAGGATGGGGCAGGCAGGAAGGGGGATCTGGCTTTGCAGGGCTGCTTCTGGTGCCGTGGGTGGAGCCCTTGGCCACGGGCAGGCTCTGCTGAGCAGCCTGGGAGGAGGTGAGGGCACCTGGAGATGGGTGGGCTGGGGATGTGGTGGGGCAGGGAGGGCTGGGCTCCCCCAGAGCTCTCTCCAGCGCTACTTCGAGGAATCTTGTAGCATGGGGCTGGATCCAGAGAGCAGGACCTGTCTGTGCTGTGAGCAGGGGTGCTCCCAGGCTGTGTGGTACCAGCCTTGTGCTGGGGCTCGCTGTAATCAGCAGCAAATCCCCGCGGCCTCTGTGCTGTCCTGAGCATGGTGTGCCTCTGAATTCCCTAATCCCCCTCTAATTCCATGGGACTGGGATGCAGCAGGCTAATGCAGCCTGTGTGTGCAGGGCTGGCTCAGTACTGCTCCCTGTCCTGCCTGTGCTGGTTCCTGCTGTGGGCCAGGCTTTTCCTTCACCCCCCTGTCAGACCCCTCTCCCTGCAGGCACAGAAGCCCCCAGGCAGCAGCCCCAGCCTGCTCCAACTGAGACTGGATGAAAACAGAGAGATCAAGGTGTACCACTACTGAAAGGTGGGGTTTTTCTCCGCAGGGATGCTGGGGGGGCTGTGCAGTCTCCTCATGATGGGCTGGGTTTTGGTGATGCCCACCCAGGCACCTCCACCGTGTGTGTGTGCCACGTCCTTGAGACTGGGTGTTTTTGCAACAGAGTGGAGGAAGGAGGAAGAGAGCTTCCCAGGCGGATTCTTCTAATCCTGTAATGTGTCCAAATATACTTTATAGACTGTTTAATCCAGCGGTGACATATCAGGGCTTCAATAAATCAACATTTCCCTCATCAGTATTCCAGCGACAGCGAGGCAGAGCTGTGAATCATGGAGGACTTTGAGTAACTGGTCAAGGGGGAGGATGTTAATCCAGCTGAGGCTCTGCTGGAGGAAATGTGTCAGGAAATGAGCCTGCCCTGATGCCCAGCAAATGCTCAGTGGCAGGTGGGCCATGTCAGGTGGCCTCTGGCACGTGGGAGCAGCGGAACGGCTGCGGAGTCTGGGGATAAAATCAGGGAATGGTACGTTCTGGCTCATGGGCAGTGTTCTGCTTATTTGGGGTGGAAGCAGTAGGAACTGAGGGAGATCTGGATGAGCCCTCCCCGCTCCTCTCATGCCAGGCTGGCCAGAGCTGTGCTTCAGAGCAGCTCTGTGCCCGTCACGGACGGTGGCAGCGGGAGCAGGGGTGGCAGGGACACGGGCAGGGCCTGGTGCAGGCACGGCTGAGGAGCTCCTGTGAGTGCTGAGTCCTTCTCTGTGCCCTGGGGAGAGGGACACAGAGCAGCTGGGAGCTCTTTCCATGCTCCTGCTGCAGCTCCACAGGGATCCTGTGGGAGCAGGGCCGTGGGAACACCGGGGAGCGGCTGAGGAGTTGGGATGAGCAGCTCTCAGCTGTGACACAGAGGCTCATGGCTTTGCTCACCGGCTGCTGTGGTGTTCCTCTGGAAAAGCCACATCCAGAGGGTGTCCCAGCCTGCTGGGATGCTTGGAACTGGCAGGGGTTTCACTCTACCCAGCGGGGAGGGGTCAGGCTTTCATGGGAACGTGGTGTTTGGTTGTCTTTGTCAGTATTTCCTCCGAGCTGACTCTAAATATTTTATGCTTTAAAAAGCTGTCGAGCCGCTCGCCCGTTCTGGCTGCCGAGGACTCTGCACTTCAAGGGAGCCCATCTGTGAGAAACTTTCTTCAAAGCCATTCTCCTGAGACAGCTGCTGGGGGGAGGCTGGGAAGCTGCTGCCCCACACCCCCCGTGCTGTGTGAGCCCCTCGGGTGGGCAGTGGCAGGAGGCAGAGCCCCCTGCTCTGCTCCCTTGGTGCCATGAGCCTGGCACATGCAAATAGAAATATATTTTTGATGAACATAATTTTAAAACTCTTAAGAATGTATGTATTTTATTTTTTTCTTGCTGTTTTCCTAGAACTTTTTTGTAATTACTCAACCAGCCTTATTCCTTCCTAGGGAAGGAGGGATCAAAACACGGGTATCCCATCTGCTGTTGGATTGCACAAACCCCTTCCTGTAGGGCTCTTGCTTTTGGTTTACTGGATACTCAGAGGACACATGGCAGTCCTTGCAGTGAGGGGATTTAGAAGGGACCCCACAGTTGAGGTTGCTGTGGCCAAAGCCATATCACTGAGCCCATTCTGTATCTGGGGAGAAGCGTGCATTAGTGGTGCAGGGAAATGCCAGTTTTTTTAACAATAACTTGGTTTGAAACACGCTCCTTTTTCCTGTTAAAACCTGGGACTGCAGCTGTATCTGGTTTTGTATAAATTAAATCAACATGAGCCTGTTTTGTGTGATGGTGATGGTTGTCACTCTGTTTTGTTGTAGCTGGATATCCAGCTGTACTTTCCTCTCACATCTCCCCTTGTCTCGGGGCTCCCTCATGTTTTGTCTTGTCAAGGTCGTTTCTGGCAGTTCCCAAGACCACTTAAGCTCGCTGTGACTTTGTTACCATTATTCTTTTAAGTGTCTGGGCAGGGCAGCAAATGCAGAGGCAGAGAGAAGAAAGCTAAAATAAAAACCAAAACGACAAAATGAGAGCAAGGCTTGGCTCTGGCAGCCTGGGATCTGTGAAAAATGCCTCGCTGTACATTGCCTGCTGATTTCCCGTGGCTTTGGGAGCAGCCAGGAGCTGCCCCAGCAGTGTGCTGGGTGCTGTGGGATGGCTGAGTAAACGCTCTCACCAGGAATTGGGGAGGGTTGGTGACGTGCTCCTCTCTTCCCATGACTTGTTCCCATCTCCTGGCAGCAGCCTGTGGGAGCTGGGGGGGCTGCTGAGGCACGGGGGAGCAGGGTGTGCATCAGCTGCTTGTGCACAAGGAGGCTGGTAGTTTCGTCCTTAAAAAGAAAAGAAAGTGCCCCAGTTGCTGCTGTGCCTGAGCTGCACCCGTGTGTCTTTTCCCTCTGGAGCAGGATAAGAGCTCCTGGAGGAGCTGTGGTGGCAGTCAGTGTGTTCAGGGCGGTTCTGAGACACCCCAAATCCCAGCTGGAGTGTGGGATCCTCCTGGGTGCGCTGTGCCCCTGCTGAGGTGGGTCCCCACGGAGCAGGTGTGTCCCAGGCTGGGCTGGGCTGTGCTCCCTGTGCTTGGAGCAGAGGATTTGCCTTTCCTGGAATGCCAGAGCTGCGTCCCCTGGCGAAACTCGATTAGAGGAGCAAAAGGGCAGTGCCTGATTACTTCAGCAAGCTGAGCAGGGGCTGTAAGCTCATTAAGGGGCTTGGCCTCTGCCTGCCCGAGGAGGGACATCTCAGTGCTGGCTGTTGGATCCAGCAGTGCTGCTCCAGAGCCTGCGCACCCCGGCCATGCTGGGCACCCTGATGACAGCGCTGTTCTTCGTGGTGAGGGCGGTCAGACAGGTGAGCCCTGACTGCTGCAGTGCTGCTCCCACCTGCCTGGGGCTGGGAATGGCTCCTGTGCCTCCTAAAGCACCCTGGGCAGGAGGGCTGGGAGCTCTGCGGGCTCGGGGTTGCCACGACGAGTGGCAGGGGAGGGTTGTGATCTCTGCTGATGACTGTGGCTGAGCAGCTCTTCCTGTTCCTCTCCTGTCCTTTTCCCTGCTGAAAAACCTTCCCTGTGTGCAGCTGGGGACCAACCTGTTCCGTGAGGAGCCCCTGCCTTACCTGGTGTATCAGCCCCTGCCCTGGCAGATCCAGTGCGTGTCCCAGAGCCGCCGCACCAGCCGGGACAGCGAGGTGAGGGCTGCTGGCACTGCCAGGACAGCGAGGTGAGGGCTGCTGGCACTGCCAGGACAGCGAGGTGAGGGCTGCTGGCACTGCCAGGACAGCTGACTCCAGGGATGGCAGGGGCAGCTGTGAGCCAGGCAGCCTGCAGGTGTAGGCAGGGGGGAAATGTAATTCCAGGAGGGCAGGATAAGCTGGAAAATGTTGAATTTGTAGAGAAGCTTATTTTTAGAAATGGAAGTATCCCCTGGATGACCTGGCAGCCCAGGAGCTGCAGGCTCATGGTGTAGGGGCTGTCTCCTTACTGGTTTGAAATGCAGATCCAGTGAGGATAGCCTGTGCCAACATCCATCCATGGTCTGGAGCTTCTCACAGCTCTGAGTTTGGATGCAAACCTATTTCCTGCCTCTCCTTGGAGGTCTTTTCATAAATGCAGATTAATTAATCAGTACTCTTTAGGGGAGCAACAGTAAACATGTTCCAATTTCTTAAAGGGAATGGAGAATGGAAAGGGACTGTCCTCACTGCCTCTGCCTGGGATAGATCTAACTTCCATTTTATTTCTCTACCTTTCTAGAGAGGCAGGAACTCCCGGCACAACAGCATCTACTCGCTTTCTGGAGAGAAAGGTGAGTGTGGAACAGGCAGGGAGGCAATAAAAACCCTCAGTCAACACAAGTAATGAGTGGAACTCATGGCTGCCACTGTGGATGCAGCAGAAGAGCAGGCATTGCAGTACCTACATCCTTCTCCCTCCACAAATCTGTGACATTATTAAGGGGTATTTGATGATGAGATATTTGTTATTGTGTGTGGCATCAGCCAGTGAAGGTCCCAGTGCTGCAGGGCTGAATAAATAACCCCACACGTGTGTCTGTGCACACCCCTGCTCATCCCAGGAAACCTGCCCCACTGACTCAGGTGGGGTCATGCTGTCCCACAGAACAGCCCCCTTCTCCTTGTTCTGGGAAAACCACCTGGCATTCACCCCCTCTGCTCTTTGCTCTTGTCTCCAAGGCTCTGCAGTGCTCAGCAAAGAGGATTTGAGCTGTTCTATTCTCGTTATCCAAGTGGATAACGGGCAGTGGGGGCTGGGGGTGCCATCCCTCCTCACGGCCCAGCTGCTCTGCCCTGTCTGGGTGCTGGGCTGGGGCTTCCACTGCAAATGGGGGCAGGTCTGGGGGTGCCAGGGGCTGAGCCCCTCGGGCAGGTGGGGTTGTGCAGAGCTGCTCACCCTGCCAGTGCCTGTCCTCAGCCTCTGCCCTTGGGCAGGATTCACAGCTGGCAGGGCAGGGCAGGGCAGGGCAGAGCCCACTCGCTCCTTTTATCTTTTTGCTCTGCAGTTTCTTTTCGGCAGTGAAGGGAGATGGGTTCAGGTGGCAGCGGTGAGTTTATACAGCAGCATCTGGCCCCAGGATTGCTGATGGCTGCTCGGGGGGTGCTTAGCAGTGACACACTGGCTTAGAGGAGCACTGCTGAGTGGCTTTGATGCAGTTCCTGTTGAATTTCACAATACTTCCCTAATGCCACATTAAGCAGGAGTGGGGAGGGCTCCCATTTGTCAGCGTGAGAGCTTTATTGCTGCGCGGGGCCGGGCTTTCTTTCTAATCTTATTTGTGTGTGCGAAAGTAAGTGAGCATCATACGTGGTGATTAAACGTGGGGAAGCTGTGGCCTTCGGGGAGTGGAGCTGTGTAAATAGAGGGCTTAGCACTGCCAGGGAGGCTGGGCTTTGCTTTGCCTCCCGTTCCCTGCTCCTTCTGCCCTGGAGGTGTCCCTGTGAGCCGCTGGAGTTGTGGTTTCATGCTGTGAGCTCTGCAGCAAGGACAGCTGTCCTGTCTGAGGAATGGGGAGGTCACTGACCCCACGGGGGTGATGCCAGAGCCCTGCCCTGCTCCTTGGAGCCTGTTCAGAGCTGCTGGCACTCTGTGTGCTCACTGTGATGCTCTCTTGCCCCTCCAGGTGATGTGACCCCTGATGCCAGCAAGGAGAGCAAGGTCACTGACCCTTCTGAGAGGGCAGCCATCACCATCCAGACCCACTTCAGGAGGTACCAGCAGCAGAAGCAGGAGAAGAAGTAGCCACAGCAGCCCCCTGTGGCCTGCACTGTTCCTCCTGTTGGTCTGTTCTGTCCCCCAGAGACATTTGGGGCTGTGGTGGCTGTGACCGTGCCCCCGATCCGTAGCTCCTGGTGCAGGTGTAGCTTCTCTGCCCTTGTGTTGGTGCTCACAGGGAGTTCTCTGTCCTGCTCAGTCCTTCCCCGGACAGCATCACTTTGTGGGCCAGGTTACAGCTGCTGGGGGGCTGCTGGGGACAGGGCACAGGTGTGGCAGCACATTTGGGAGCCTTGGCCAGCCCTTGGGTGATGCTGTGAGCCCCAGCAGCTCTGGGAGCTGTGGGAGGGGGTACTGTGCAGCAGAGGCTGGTTGTGCAGGCTGGTCACTGCCCAGCCGGGGCTTGTTTCACCCCAGGAACTCTCCCCTGTGCCTCCACCTCCTCCACTCTGCCTCTGGAGCCGGGTGGAAAAGCTGCCTTTGTCCCCTGCTGTGTCCAGAGCAGAGTGACCAGCGCGGTGTCCGGGAGCAGGACATTGCCAAGGGAATGTGCTGCAGGCTGTGAGGGGAGCAGGAGCTGAGCTGGGAGCTGCTCTTACCTTTTCCTGGGGAGGACTGGCTGGGGTGTCCTGGTTCCAGAGCAGGCACTGGGACTCTGTGTCCTGAGGCTGACCCCTGGTGCTGCTGGTGTTGGGCTTGGAGCCCACCCAGCCCCCTGGCCTCTCTTCTGGTGCATTTCTGGGCTTGATGGCCTCTTCTCTGCTCTTGGCATGGCCTGAACGGGCTCTTCTCCTTCACATCCTGCTGTGGTGAGGGGCAGGGGGCTCCCTGAGGGCAGGGGGGTGTGGGGGCTCACGGGGGAGTGCTGGAAAATTTGGGCTGTGTTAAACTCTGTAAGGCCAGGGCTTGTTCCTGCTGGGGAAGGGAAGGGGGGCAATCCTTGCTGGGATGTAGAAGGAAATCTGTACTAGCCAATTCCAATAAAGTTGTGTTAATCTCTGTTAATCTGTTCCTCTTTTTATCTTGCTAATCTTCTTACTCTCACGGCTGAACATGCTTGCCTTTTCTTGCCTCTTCTATTTTTAATTCCATTTTCCCCCTCTATTTCTGTTCTAAGCCTGGGCTTGGTATTTCAGAGGTGCTGCCTGGCTGTGACCCTGGTTTAGTGGTTGGGCACTTGGTTTCCTTTAAAACCTGTATTATGTAATGATTTATAAATGCTATATGCTCTGATGCCTCCCACCAGCCTGGCTGGGAAGGGTGCCCCTCTCCATATGGAATATTCCTTGACAGAGGTTGGCTCTGAGTGGTACCTGAATAATGGCCAAAAATCATAAAAATCTGGGACAAGGAATTGTCTTAGCAGCTTGTTTCTCAAGCCCCAGAGGTGAACAGCTGCCAGGCTCTGGCCAAGGCGCTTCCAGCTCTGCAGGATTCCAGGAGTTACCTCAGTTAGGAAGAACCAGATGGCAAAGGA